AAAAAATAAGATAGAACTATTTTTAATTTATATACTATTTATTTAGTAAAATTTTAATACACGTGAAGGGTGTGGGTGTGGGTGAGGGTGCGGGTGTGTGTGTGTGTGTGTGTGTGTGTGGGTGTGGGTGAGGGTGTGGGTGAGGTTGTGGGTGTGCGTGTGGGTGAGGTTGTGGGTGTGGGTGTGGGTGTGCGTGTGGGTGTGGGTGAGGTTGTGGGTGTGAGAAGAAAAAATAGACACTCACACTCTCAGGATGCACACAAAGAGAGAAAACAAAGGGAAGAAAATATACTAGACTGTGGTGTGTTATCATTCTACATTAAAATAGAAGTTTCTAGGTCTTCTGAAGTGAATATTTTGCTCGTCGACGATTTTCTTGTCGACATTGTTCATTCGACATTTTTGTTGTCGACATTTTGATTTCGACATCGGTTTTTGTCGACATTTGTACTTATCGACGTTTTTTATTGTCGACATTTTACTCGTCGACATTTTACTGTCGCCTTTTCTACTGTCGACAATTTTTTTGTCGACATTTTTCTTTCGACATTTTGACACCTCATCGGACAAAAGAGACGGTCAAAGATGTCGAATATATACAACATAAATAACAGGAATTCTTCCAGGCGAAAGGCGTTATAAAAAAGTTGATGCCACGTAAGAGTTGTTACATAAGAGTGATATACCCATCGGTATACGATGTAACTGAATTGTGATGTGTCACAAATTATTTCGATTGTTACGTTCGTCTACTAGATAATTTCGTTCACTAGAGAAAATAATGATATCTAATATATGAATATTATACTGTTGTTTTAGTGGAGATCTAAAACGTCGTGTATTTAGCGAGAAAGAGAGACATCATCATAAAATCTCTTTTTACTTCGTTAATACATACGTCATTATAGAGCTGAAATTAGAACCTAATAAGTGATGTTTGATGATGATCAGATAAAAATGTTGTCTGGACTGAAAGGAGGCTGATAAGAGATTTCTTTTATTATCCGAAGCAATCCTAATATCCGGCAAAATCGGGTATTTCATGATATGTTTGAAATGTGGTAGACTCACTGACAAAGACCAAAAAGAGAATATTGATCACAAGAGTTTAAGGTGCATAAATGATCTAGTATGTTGTATTGTTGTGACTAGGGGTGCTGGTTTAGCATTAAAACTAAAAAAATCGCATTTTTTTCTCAGAAAAAGTTAATTATTTATAATATGTTAGTATATTACTTAAAGTTTTATTTCAACTAATAGTGTTCACAACAAATGTTCAAAATGATCACCATCGATCGAAATACATAAATCCATTCTTTTTACAATATTTGAAAAAAACATCACACAAAGTTTCTTTTGAAATCGATGCAACTTCTTTCTCAATTCTCTGCATTAATTCAGCTACATTTTTGACAGATGTTTTATAAAGGTTGTTCTTCATATATCCCCATCAAAAGAAATAGACAGGCGTTAAGTTCAGTGAACGTGGAGCCCATCGAATCGAACTACCTCTACCTATCCATCTGTTTGGAAAAGTTTTGTTTAACAATTCTCGTATGACAGTAGCAAAATGAGCAGGAACTCTGTCTTGTTCAAATATTATCAAATATCTCTCGCGTATCCTTTTCACTTCTGCAATAAAGAAAGATTGCAACATCGATCGATAATTTTCTGTATTAACAGAACCATCGTCAGAAAAATTAAATTTCCTTGGATATCCTTTTCTAACATTGGTATTAATGTTTGACACATTTCAACTCTATCCTGTAAGTCTTCTTCATACAGTTCTTGTACAAATTGCACCTTGAACAGTTTTAATGAACGATATTCAGTCATAATTTGGTGTGCTGCTGTTCGTGAAACAGAACAGGCTGTTGCAACAGTCCGAACATTTGATTGTGGTTCGTCTTGAAGGAAATTATGAACTTCATCGATTTCTTTCTTCTATAGTTTCTGACGATCTTCCAGAACGTTCTCAATCTTCCACTGTAACAGTTTCGTAGAAGCGTTCAAATAGCTTCAGAATACAAGATTTAGTTGATATTTTTGTATCAAATTCGGCTTGTGGTTACCGTAGAACAACTACAGGCGAGTCAAATTTGGCCATTAATAGCACTATTTCAATTCTAATGTTTATAGGTACAGACATTTATCTGAAAATATACGAAATAAAACTTTAGGCACCATACTAACATATTATAAAAAAAATCAATTAAATTGTTTGAGTTGTACAAGAGATATTTGAATTAACTTTCCGTCCAGACTTCTAGGGCATCCTGTATATGCGGATATTAAAGTTTGTCTTTCACAGAATGTTCGACAGACCCTAGAAAATCAATGAAATAAGAAACACAGACGTCACCTTGATTTATACATGTGATATGAAATGTTGGAGTAGTCAAGATTCGCGAACAGGAGAGATAACAGCGATTAGTTTTAAAATGAGTATGACATTTATGAAAACTTTAGTATAGATTTGAAGGACTAGATCTTTGATGAAAAAAAGAAAGTGGTCATGCATTCTCGTTTTTTTTGTGTGATGATAATCAGGTGAAAACTGTTTGAGAGTGAAGTGAGTTCCTTTGACAAACATTATGTAGTTGATTGGCGAGGAATGATTGTGTCGATGTAGTTGTTCATACAAGTGTAGATAATATATTTGTGGGACTGTTATTGATACTGTCCATTTTCAATAGAATATGTGACAAATGCATTGTATCCTTTCATATCTGTTAAATGTCATTTTTTCACTTTTTAAACGAAGAGTTAACACTCAGCACATCGAGAGTATAGTCGTGTTTTGTCAAAAGTATCTAATCCCGTTCGAAATTATTGACGAATGACAAGGTCAGACATTTCATCTAATTTTGGGCGTAATATGCAACATTCAGCAGTCAGAAGTCGTGACCCAGAGAGACACCGACTGCCAAATGTCTCTTCCATTTTTTTTAAAAAGGAGATATATTAAATCATAGTATACACGTAGACGTCTTCAATATGAACTATGTTATTTCAGAAGTCGTTTCGATTGTTTAGTGTTTTTTTTATCGAGTCGTTTCGCTCATCGAAGTTAATATTTGCACCCAGAATGGGGCTTTCAAAATGTCGTTTTGAGAAACTGAATATTTATCTGACTCAAAGAAATCGAAAATCAACAGGAGAAGATCTCGTAGTGCTTCATAAACTTCATATCCTATGACAAGTAGTCGAGAGGGATGCTGAAGACTAACTGTAAATTGACTGTAATACGTATCAAAGCTTTAGTGGTGACGTAAATAGTTAAGTTTTTAACGAGAAGAACTGAAGTAATTATATAATCTGTTTCCCTGTTGAGCAAATACACCCGGCATTAAAATTGAAACGCACTCTATTAAGCGTTATCTGATGACGATAGTCAGATCGGTAATGTTAAGGATCACGTGGATTCTCTTGGCGAGTATTATGCATTTTGTAAGTTGGGTCTGGCTACAAATGTCTGGTTATAAATAAATAAGCAACATCTGAATATATGTATGTGTCAATGAGCTAAAACGATGGATCATTGATATTGGCATAGACAGATATGTGTTTCTTAACGAAAACTATTCAACACGAATTAGACCACACGTCGAAATAAGTATTTTTATTCTTAATCATATTTTGAGTCGAATCACGTATATTTCTGAATAAATCTACTCGGATTCAAATGAATGTTTTCTTATTCTTTAAAGTTTCTAAAGAGTTTGAGAGGATAAAATAAGACGAAGTAGTGTGTCAATAAGGACTTGCAGAATAGGACAAGATATGTAGTTGGAAATTTCTTCTTGTAGAAAACACGAAACTCGTTTTATCGTACACACATGTAACTGTTGGTTATGTTTGTAGTATTGTGTATCATTCCATCACACTTTTTATTCCATATACTTTAATCTAACGCGTTTTGGAAACATTTTGTTTGTAACGGATTTTGTTAGGGGATGGAGATATATCCGTTACGGCTGCAATATTTTATTGCTTTTCTTGTTATAACACGATAAGGAACTGCCCGGACACACAAAACTTTAAAAAAAACGATGAAATACTCGTAGAGATATTAACGAAAATAAAATCCGGAAAAGCGCATCGACAATCTGTGCTTAACGCGTTTTTACGCGGTAAAAGATACACAACAACGCGTGAAATCACAATAAATTCCGCGTTTCAACGAGTAACTACGGAGAAGATTTTACAAGGGGAGAAAAGCGGATTCCATCTATCCTGGATACGGTTATAATCCAGAGGATACGCTTATAATCCAAAGGATATATGCAAAACTAAGAATATAACATTTACGCAATAAAAATCATGGAAGTAATGGCAGATTACTTTTGGTAAACGTCTTCCATTGATAGTAAAGGTTTGAAGTGCTTCTTATTTATATTTTTTGAAGCTAACTACGTCTTCATGTGCAACATGATGAATTTAAATTCAAAACAACTATTAAAATATTATAGTAATCAATTGTTCATTTTCTGACGTTTAATCTATGTATGCGCAAAATATTCCGACGAGTCAGATGATACCGAACGAAAAAAACATAATAAATTTCTATTTCTCTGTTTTACTCATAATATCTTCCTTTACACATCATCTCATCACGTTTATACTATATTCGTCTTGCGATTCTTATTGTACAATGCCACCACTAAAATTGAACATGGATATTACAGTTCTTCCTCCAAATGTGCTATTATTATAGAATGAACTTCTCTATGAATTAGTTCATAAATTAGCTGATCATGTCGAAGTTAAATTACCTCAAATACAAGGTGTTCGCAGTGCCTATTCATTGATGCATATTGAAGATGTTTTTGATATATCAAAGTATGAATGTAACAAATTGAATAAAATTTAAAAAAATGCTTGCCTTATGTTGGATAATAATCGATTCATTGTTAAACCAGGATGTAAAAGTAATTTACGATACTTTATTCAATTACTCAATTTAAAAAATCAAGAACACTTGAAAACAATTGAACTTCGAATGAAATCAAAGTATACATTAAATGATGTTGTTAATAGTAATACATCTATATCACAATCATCAGCACAGGTTTTTCCTGTTTTTTCACCAATATCACAAAATAAAACAGCAACAATAATAACGTGTAAGTATATGAAATCATCTAGTACCACAGATTCTTCTGTTTCAATTACATAGATTTTAAACAGTTACTATTTTTCAAAGATTTTAAAAGAAAAGTTACTTTTTTCATTCAAAAACTCGAAAGCAATCTCGATATTTATTTTGTATTATTTTTATGATAAGAATTGTACTGCATATTATCTGCCATATGTTCCTTGTGATAAGTAACATTTTTGGAAATTGCATAAAATATTATTTTGTATTTATTTTACAACTATATTATCTATTAGATTTAAACGTTTTTTTTCATAAGGAATATGTAACAGAAATGATGAATAGTATAATAGAAAGCGTCTTTAATGGAAGTACTCATGAACAAATCAATCATAAATAATACAGATTAAGAAGTGTTGCGATAAATTATCAGTTCTAATCTATAATATGAATGTTGAAAACTGATTAATTGAGCATGAGACTAAGAAACTAACTAAGCATTAGCAGATATATACTGTGTAACTTAGTGGTTTGCAATAAATATCCATAACTCTGTATTGTGCACAGTATAGCCTTATTAAATCAATTGAACACACCTAATACTTAATCATAGTATAAAAAACAATTGAGCCGGAAAAATCTTCGAAACCAGATAACAAACTAAAATATTGTTTTGTTTTTTGTAGAATATCGATCACTCACAATTTATTTATTGAAAACAACGAAGAAAAGAAGAAGTTTTTAATAAATAATAAATTGTTTCATTTTAAATACATGATGCATAATGGATTATATAAATACTAGATTCATAGGTTTCTATTATAAGCAACATTTTGTACTATCATATTATACATGTTGTGTACTTTTCTAATTATAAGTTTTCATGTTTTGTAAAGCTTTATTCCTGTGATTTCTTAAAAATAAAGTCTTATTATATGACGATAAATAAAGAAGTGTCTATGCTTCTTCATTAATGATGAAGTTTGTTTTGTTTCTATGTCATATAGTTAGGATACAATCAGACGTATTGAAAACAGTAAAACATAAGAAAAAAAATTATTTTGCAAAAGTGGAGTTGGTTGCAGTTAACTGATGCAGAAAAACTTTCCACTGACTGTCAAGAAAAGACGAAAAATGCATTCTTTATCACAAAGGGTGCTTATCATTCAATCGAAATAAATGCTCACACGTTACTTTCAATCGTTCTTCTTGTTTGTCAACATGATTTGCCTGAATTTGTTCTGTCTATATCAAGTTTTAATTCATAGACTTGTGAAAATATATTCAGATTAACACGATCTATGTCTGGTACTTTCTCATCAAATGTAAATTTTATGGCCGCTCAATTTCTACGACGTGTTGGTAAACTTTCAATTCTGCAAGATATTGAAAGAAACCATGAGCATGATGAATCTAGACGTTCTTTAGAATTACCAAAACATCATAAACGACGTCACAAAAAAGCTGCATCACTATATAATCATTCACAAGGTTTTACTGATAATTTAATATAAAATACTGTTCAAAATACTATTTTTCGTGCCTTTGATAATGCCTACCAAATGTTATCTGTACTTGATATTGATAAAACTTTAAAAGAGTCACACAAAAGTACTTTGAATGAAATAAGTACATTTGCTCGAGTTCAAATCGAACGGAAATCTCATACTACTGATTATAGCGAGAATTGAGACGAATAATTAGATGAAGAATCCGATATTGAACAGGTAAATACGTCTGATAATTGTTATGTAAGTACAGAAAGTCCTGAGAAGATAAAACAGAAGAGTTGCTTTCTAATTCTAATCGGAAAACATCAGAATTTAAAGTAATAAGAATTTTTAATGAAATTTCTAGTTCACAAACCAATTCATATTTTCGTATTAAACGCGATGCAAAGAAAAAGTTTATGCACAAGCAAACTGCTTGCTGGCTCCTTACCGACAATAAATCTACACTTTCAGCTGATCAACTTCATCGTATTCAGTAATCAAAGGCCTAGTGTTCTACAAGAGTGTGACACTGAGGATTTGAAGTGTATAATGTATTTGTATATATCATGTGTTTGTGTGTGTGATTTGGTGGTATGTATGATGTTTGTATGTATGATCTGATGGTATTTATGATGTGTTTAGCATCTATGTAAAATGTTGTGTGTATATAAAGTATATAGTTGTTGTGTATTAAGATAAGCATAATGTGTTGTGTGTGTAGTATACATTTAGATGTGATGTATCAATTATACATATGGTACATAGTGTATGAGTGTGTCATGAGAAATTACAAAAATATCATTATTTGTCTTGAGATGTAATTACATAACATCTATAAATATCATATGTAGAGTACATTTTTGTTTTATTTCTGTAGTATAAAATGGAAAAAGGGAATTTTTCGTCTGAATACAATCAATTTCGACCAAAATAAGAAGAACATAAAACTTGAGGTTGTAATTTCAGAAATTTGAAAACTGGACAAATGTGAATTTGATAACAACATAAACTTACTTTTAATTCATAATAAATCAATAAATCAATAGAAATTAAAATAATATACAGAATAGCATAAAGCTATTAATAATGAAATTAATAACAGTTGATATAAATTCATCACAAAAATAATAACAATAATTGATTTATTCCTAGTACCAGTTTAACATAAACATATCACTCAAAGTTGAGTTTTACTTTTTCTGTTGATTTTTGACTTATTGTTAATAAAATAAAAATGAATGAATTTGCTCTGCTGGACATAGTGATCCTGACATCCATCTGACTGGTGACATGTTATGATTTCTGATGTCAACAGTAGACTACTCTTTATATCTTTATTTTAACTTGGAAATTCAAATGCTTATAATGTAGATTCAGATGAGGCTAGTTCGTTATTTAGGGTATGTAGTATAGAAAGAAAATACATAGTTCTTGAAAGAAATGCTGAGAACAAAATGAAAGTATAAAAAAGATCTATTGAGGATACAGAGGATCCATTCGTGATACGGAGGATCGAGAGGATCTACTTGGGGATGCGAAAGATACGAAGGATTCCGGCATCCCACAATCCTCTTTTCCCCCTTGAGATTTTAACACAGTAGAACGCTTTCTGGAAAACTGCGTAGGAACGCCTTAAGAACTCCTGAAAACGGCGTTTTTACGATGGCCTACCGTTGAAACGCTGCGTTTACACTGTCTGAACGCGTTTTCTCAGAGATCATGTCTGTCAGGATGGTGGAGTAGTGTTACCGCTATCTTCGGTATGGGATGTCCACCACACTACTCCGCAATCCATTTGTCTTTATTCTTCTCAGTGAAAAATTGTCGAATTATACCTCATTATATAAGATTATAATC